TCTTTTGGATGACAGGGCCACAATCTGAGTCCTACATTAGAATTCATAGATAGTAAGTGCCAATAGGGATTATAAATTAAATAGACCAGCTCACTTGATTTACAAAAAGAAAAGCCATTATTGTGCTCATCCCTCCCATAAGACTTACATCATATAGCAGTATATTGTATATGTTAATTTTAAAGAGTTTGAACTATAATATAAGTCTCAACTCTTGTTTGGAAAAATTACTTTTTTCTATTATGGTATAAAATAGTTTATGAATATCCAGTCAAGACATACATTTAGACAGGCTCAATTTTCTTCATCCTTTAGAAGATTAGTGGTATTTTTGTTCACAAAGGATAGTGAAATCATTAAATTGTAATATAGAAATAAAATTCTTCACTTTATGAACATGATTAATTTTTCCAAGGCAGAAAGGAAGAAAGATCCTCAATAGCTGAATAGATATAGAACCAGAGCATATTATCCTTGAACTGTGCAAATCCTTTCTTCTGCTTTAATATAGAAAGAACAATTTTATCTGTACTACGTCTTAAGAATTACAGCTTGGGTTGGTGTAAACAAAGGTTTATATCCAGGGGATAATGCCCTATTTCTAATGGAGTTTATTTCCAGATACCATGCTTATTTACTATTGAACCATGAATGATATGTTGGTGTATTGCCTTCTGGGAACAATGGGATATGCTGCTCCAGCCAGTCATGCATGGCCTGCCTCCATGGGTATAATCAGCTTTCCCCAAAACCACATGGGATGCATGGGCTAAGTGATAATACTAAAATGTTAAGAATAGTTTTAGGAAGGGGAAGGGAAAAGAGGAGATGAGATGCTTGGTAAGAAACTAGTAAGTGACTACTTAAAAAAAAAAATTGTACATATACATCCAAGCATCTCCCTCATCAAGTTATGAATCAGTTCCTGATGGAAACCTTAACTTGGAACCAATTTCCCATAAATCATAATTTAAATAGGAAAATATGGTGTAATGCTTAATATGTCACCCAAGCCCTCCAACAAATTACTAAAATATAACAAACAGTAAAATACATATTTGTTAACTATCATATTAAGATGTAAAATGCTAAAACTACTGCTTCTTAATTCTAATCATCAAACTAATATGACTGGTAACAAAAAGTTGTATATTATCACACAGCCCCTTTGTTGACATCCTGCATGTTTTTTTTAAAACATCTGTATGTGCTGCTATGGTTCCACCGATTGTATTTGGAATGTAATTAAATAGTTTTCACACACATGGTTTGTTATAAATCTGTATTGCCTTATGTGGACACAAATATACATTTTTCCTATATAAAAATCGACTTTGGCCGTCTCTTTAACAAAATTTTATCTTCACTACGTATTAAATAATTAGAACTTGGGTGAATGGTTAGGGAAACCATACACTTTCATCTCTTTGGGATGAATGAGGACAACAGAGCTAAAGGCTGTTGATATGATCATATGATCCCTGAATTTATAGCAAGGCATGCTTCTTTTTCTATACTCAAGAGGAGGAATGATACTGTTAGTGTCCTGTTTTCATAGACAGAGAGAAAAATAATATAAAGGTTCTAGCTATCATCCTTGGTACCCCAGGAGAACTGACATCAGCTTTGAATTTTCCTTTTCTCCTCCAACAGTTCAGCTTGTTTATCTTCAACTAAGAATTATCCTGAAGAAAAGTAACTTGTCAGTTTTAGAGTCAAATAATATCTGCATAAATAGGTCAGTAAGAGACAGGTAGGTAGATAGGCATCCCTATCTGTGTTGACATTTAAGGTGTGCGGTGTTTTTTTTAACAGTTTCAAACAAGCATCTCAAATTCCCATGATCACCACATGTGCTTTAAGTGGATTCAAATGTGGCTCCATAGCCATTTTCTTTGACTCTCAAAAACCACTAAGAAGGCATTTGTGTATTTCACAGACTTTGAACAAGTTTTGGGTTGATTCAGAGAAATTTGTTTCAACAACTCAAACAGTTTAACTTTCTCATTTGACATAACTTTTTATTATCCTGTTCTCCTTATTCTAGATATGCTTCATCTTGCAAATATTGCCTCTAAATATGATTATTAATTGAGAACTGAATATTTATAAATTACTTGACCTGGATATGGCACTTTATTATATCCCTGATTGTATTGCCTATTTTTATAGCACCATACTTAAGTTTCAAATTAATGTCCTCTAGTCACAGACAGGTTTGAGCCCACTTTTGCACTTTCAACATTTTCAAACATACCTCAAATGGAATGGATTAATTTTGCACACAGACTGACTCTTTCTAGGCTATTTTTCTGAAATCCGTTTTGTCACATAAATCAGAAGTCAAGTTATCCTAACTTCTTACTCTACCTAATTCCTAAAGTGCTCTTTTCTTATTCTACATTTCTCAGATAGCTAGGTTATAAGTAACAGACATACTTAAAGTAGGTTAAAAAATACCACGCATCTCATGTAGACAGTTCTTAAGTATCTACACACAAATCTGTAGAACTAATGAGTTTGGAAAGGTTCCAGAATACTAAATATATGAAAATGTCATTTCTATTTCTATATGCAAGTAATAAATAATCTTAAAATTAAGCTATGGTGAGCGCTGCGAATTGTGCCAGACTGTTGAATCACAGATCTGTACCTCTGAAACAAATAATACATTATATGTTAAAAAAAAAAAAAAAAAGATAGCAAGAGGGGAAGAATGAAGGGGGGGAGATCGGAGGGGGAGACGAACCATGAGAGACGATGGACTCTGAGAAACAAACTGAGGGTTCTAGAGGGGAGGGGGGTGGGGGGATGGGTTAGCCTGGTGATGGGTATTAAAGAGGGCACGTTCTGCATGGAGCACTGGGTGTTATACGCAAACAATGAATCATGGAACACTACATCAAAAACTAATGATGTAATGTATGGTGATTAACATAACATAATTAAAAACAAAACAAAATAATTTCAATGATAGTATCACATAGTATAAAATACTTAGGGAAAAGGAAGTGAAAGATCTGAACTAAAACCTACAAAGCACAGTTGAGAAGTTAAAAAAAAATCTAAATGGTTGGGACCATTGCATGTTTATGGCAAAAGGTATTTTGCAAATGTGATTCAGCTAATGCCCTTAAAATGGGGGAGATTATATTGTATTTTCTAGGTGGACCCCATCTAATCACATGGATCCTTAAAAGCAGAAAATCTTTCCAACCTGTGGTTCCAAAGAGATGTGAATAAAGAAGTATCATTGAGATACTGTATTGCTGGCTTTGAAGATAGAGGAAGGACATGAGCCAAGGAAATCAGGCAGCCTCTAGAAAGCAAAAAAAGCAAAGAAACGGATTCTCTCCTAGGCTCCTCAGAAGAGATCATAGCCCGGCTGACATCTTGATTTTAGCCCAGTGAAACCATCTCAAATTTCTCACCTATGAATCGATAACAATAAATTTGTGTTGTTTAAGCCACTAAGTTTCTGGTAATTTGGTACATTAGCATAGAAAACACAATAGATGAAGGGATTAATATTTTTGTTAACCTATACATTTTTTTAAAGATTTTGTTTATTTGAGAGAGAGAATGAGAGCGAGAGAGTACATGAGAGGGAGGAAGGTCAGAGGGAGAAGCAGACTCCCTGCTGAGCAGGGAGTCCGATGCGGGACTCGATCCTGGGACTCCAGGATCATGACCTGAGCCGAAGGCAGTCGCTTAACCAACTGAGCCACCCAGGCGCCCATAACCTATACATTTTTAAACTAAATTAATGACATTTAATTATTAAAGACATAGATATGTTTATGGAAAAATGTAAGCACAGGAGAAAGTTTTGATGAAAACTGCGGATACAGAGAAATTCAATGCTAATATTAATTTAACATAAAAATTAAACCACTCAATGTATTTTAAAAGATATTACAGTTATTAATGTTCCAAGGTGATTTTATTTCTGACAAAACTTTAAATTTTTTCCCCAGAATGATTCTCACCACTTCCAGCACCACCAAATTATACAATGCCTGTTGTTTAAAAACTTCACAAATAACAGGTTGTGTGTACTTTGACTAAATCAGTTCAGTGACAAACTGAGATACTTCCTCCCCGACTTTCTGGAGCCAGAAAGGTGGATTTTTGGTTGTTGTTAAAAAATAAGGAAATGACAAATTAACTCTGCCTCTATTTATGATACCCAGGCTAGCACTTGAGGGATTTACCTATGATAATATCTAGATTTTCTGTTGAGGTGAACAAACCATGCCATCACCCAGCTGCCCAAAGTGAAGAAGCACTAGCTAACCCTAATTTGACCCTTCCTAGAACTCTCAGGGAAAGTCGCCATTTGAAGATGATCTTTATCTGAGAATGAAGCATTGATATAGAGACAGATAATATTTTTTAATTTATCTTTTTAATTCTTGAATCAGTGAGGACAATAGTTTGCTGTTTATGGGTACAAAATAGCCCTGTCCTAGGTATACAAGGGTATATATGTAAGTCTGTAACATCATCGGCTACAGTGAATTTACTTTACTAGACAGCATAGCAAAGTAGGATTAACTAAAGATATATTTTCATATGAAAATGCTTTAAAATAACATGAAGTCAATGAACATTTGACTGTACAATTTCCTCTGTCAAAATATAAATGTATGTCAGCTTATGTGTGTGAATTATACTAAGTCAGTCTCAACACAGCCATGTGCTAAGGAATGTGTGAAACACTTCATGAGCAATTCTCTAAGGGGTGTACTGAAAACTTCCAAAAGTACCCCAGATATTTGGTCATAGATAAAGAATAAACTTTAAGGCAATCTTCCAAGCGAATGTAAACTTTTCTGAAGTGGCCTTTCCAGTAAAGTATTACTGTTGTGAACGCTCTATACTTATTTATGGTGCTGTTGAATATTTTTTAGTAGCACATTATCACACTAATTGTCACTTTTTTAAATAATTAGCTTAAAAATCCTGCAATTATAAAAGTGTCTGGGGTGCTTTTTGTAGACATAAGGCAGGCACTTCCTGTTGACTGATGTAGAAATCCTAAATATTTTCTTCTAAGAGCAGTTTTTATCTCTAGCTAGAATTGTATTTCTAATAACGTACTAAATACTGTGTTCACATATTGAGAAATAACAATTTGCCTACACTTTTTCTAATTTAGATCTGAGTTTAGAATTTCTTTTAATTGGTCATTTTCTACAGAAGCATCAAAATAAATAGTGCTACTCTCTGAACGCTTTTCAATGATAACGACATTTTTCTGTCTGTTAACACCTTTTTCCAAAGTAATTTTCAGAGCATGTGAACTAAACTGGCTACACTGGAGAAGTGGGTACAGGCCATTATGAAAGTCCCCTTGTAGCGACCAACTACTTTCATTTAATCTCCTTCTTAGCCTTATAATTGGCAGAGACCACCAGGTAATTATCCGGATTCATGTCCTTAAGGGTTGGAGATTTGCTCTGGATGGGGGATGTTTTGCCATCCACACGGGAGATCTGGAGCATCCGGCAGGGGTCGTGTTTCAACAAATACCCTGCAAACGTTTCCCATCCTCCTCCCACACGGACCATGACATGTTTGTTATGCAGCATCTGAAATGAAAGAAGAGCAAAAGGATTACGTTCTGCGAATTCTTACAGTATCTCAAATCAACCTTCATTTCTAGCCCTGTTACTGTTTTTTGTCTGTTTTTTCATGCCCCATTGTTTTCCTACTTGGTGCACAGTGTCTGAGTTAGCATATAGTTTGTGAAAGAAGCTTTGTCTCTGCCATGCAAGTGGATCACGGGTACACATCCCCAGGATTCAGCCTCACCCTGCTATTGGAATCCGGATCTATGTATAATCCCTTGTTTGGTTGAATGTGTCTGGAAGCTTCTCTCTGATGTTCCGTTAAGGCCTCATCACTGCCCCCATTTTCTGCCCACTGCCTCAGACAAGTGTTCCATTATTCACACCAAGTTATTCCCCTCTGAACCAGGACTCAAAAGACCATGGAAATGTCTGCCATTGAATATAATGTGAATAATCACACAAATACTCAATACGAAATAGAATGGAAATGCACTCAAAAAAACTGAAGTCTTCCCCAGTCACTGAGCCCTTCAAGGCCAGATGTTGTTGAATGTCCAAACGTTTATGTTTCCCTTTACTCTTATTTTTTTCTAATTAAGAAAGTAACTTACCTTCAGGCCTATGGGCCATGTAGAGTTCCAGATTAACAAGGCTACAGATTTAAAAAGTGAAGAATATATGGTTCTTTTTACCTAGTAAAAACATGTCAGAGCTGTAGAGGTTTGGCATGGAGAGCCAAAGAATTTGATCTTGGCTTTTTTCAAATATCAGAAAATGTAAGGTTAAGGGGAGATGCTGCTCCATCATCAAAGACCCTGCCGACTCTCTTCCCTGCCCACAATATTATGAATCCACATTGGCACTGTAATCTTGGGAAGGACATACAGTGGTGTGAGGGGATTTGGGGAGTCATTTTCACCAAATCTATTTGAATTTCTCTTGCTGTGTCATTTTAAGATCTGGAGGTTTGTTTTTTGTTTTGCTTTGTTTTGAATTATGTTATGTTCATCATCATACATTACATCATTAGTTTTTGATGTAGTGTTCCATGATTCATTGTTTGCGCATAACACCCATGGAGATTTTTTTTTTTTTTTTTTTACTCCCATCGAGTGGAAGATGATTTGTGCTTACTGCTTTCATTTACCTGTTGAGAACCTGTTGGAAATTCTGGACTTTTTTCGAATGCCTGTATCTACCAAATTTTGCATGTGTGTTTAGTGGTTTCACAGACTCCCAGAAATACATCCATGGACTCAAGTTAAATCCTGATGCATGTGGTTGATGTGAAGCAGTTTCAGATGTTGTGCAAAGTAACAAAAATGTGCTGGACATCAATAAAAACCAAGACTCGTGAAGAAATTGAAGTTAAATTTTACTGGTTATTCTCATTTCAAGAATAAAAATTATAATTAGAAAGAATTAGAATAGAAAGGACCTTCAGAAACATCTAACCAGAAGTTTTTAGGCTGATTTTGGCCTCAGAATCTACTCAAACAAAATCTCAGCAGGAACCCCTGTCATAAAGCAGGCAAAAGGAGTCAGGATTCAGCTGTAACTATTTTGCCTCCCCTGGTTCTGCCAACAGTACCGTGATCTTGTTTTTCAGATGAAGATCCCGAGGCCCAGATCTTTGGTGTGATTTGCTGAAACTAGTACCCAGATTTCCTGACTCCAGTCTAATACTTGTCCCACAACAGTTCTTTGTAAAGCAAAATCCATCAAGGCTTTTGATAATTTGACCTATTTCCATCCCCACAAGCTCCTGTGTGTGCCTCTACGGCTTGCTTCTAAAACTTGAAGTTACTGGGACAAAAATTGCAAAGGCTGGCATCCAAACAGTACTCTGACCCTTTCTCCCTCTGTTCTAGAAAACAGCTTTGCCTCTTGTTGATGTTCTGGCACGTCCTAGCTCTGTAAGTTACATTTAAGAGTTGCCTCTAAACATCCTAGCTATGAATGCCTGGCAGAGTGCCCAAATTCACTTGGCTATGAGCAGGCTATTTCAACCAGAAGGAACCACCAGTCAGTACAGTTTTTAGACAATTCGTTAACTCTGGAAAACAGTGGAAGAAATGTTTTTCTGCCTGGCATATACAATCATTCAGGTACAAACTCTTCCTGCAGATTCTTTAATGAATCCACGCATGGGAAGTGGATCCAGCATGAAACAGAGTTATGCTGAATGCGAATAACATGGGAAATTAAATTTCTGCCCACCTTCTCTTCCATATCCTTTCAATAGTGAATCAGCAACCTATAATTTGCTAAGAAGGTCAGTGGTCAAACTGAACAACAGTTTCAAGCATGGGATTAAGATTTCGTGGCCATAAGCATTTACATCCTTGATTGTAGAGATTTAAATTCCATGCCTTATCTTAGTATGTGCTAAGTCTCAAGAAAAAAAAAAATAGTAACACCCATCCCCATCTCCATAAACTAAACCCCTACTGTTGAACCTAAAAGAAAATTAACCTGCTATAAATCACACTACTCTCAACTCTACCCTCTCTCCCCCCACAGTGCTTGCCTACAAAACCCCAGCCTTGGATTAAGTGTATAATCTTCTAAATCACAGTAGAGAAGCTGAGCTCCCACTGGAAGAATTCTTTTCATCTCAGGGATTAGTGACATTAGGCCAATTGCCCTAATGGATCAATTATGATCCTTTTGGTTTTGGTCAGTTCCATTTCCTGCTTCTCCCTATTCTCGAACCCACTACTCATCTCTGTCCTCCTCATTCGGCTGTTGGCTTCATCATCATCAAGCATGGCTTTCTCTCTCAGCATCTCCACTGGCTAATTTACTCCAATCTATATTTATCCGTTTCTCCAGTTTCCTCATCACAGAAAGAAGTCCTTCATCCAAAGTCAACTCCTCCCCATACGTCCTCATTCCCATTACCATCATGCAGAAGTTCCTGCATCAAACACCACATCTCTCTTCTCTCTCTCTGCAACTTATCGTACATTAGTTCTTATCTTTCAGGGGATAAACATACCCAAGCCTCTCTCACTCTTGTCCAAAGCAAAACTCTGCTCCTTCCATCCCAGGCTTCTTTGTTCTCACACCTTTTCCTTACATCTGAGCTTTCTGGTAAGCTTACACGTGATGTCTTCGCTTCCAACTTTCTATTCGCTGTCCAGCCCACTACACATTGCTTCTGCCCCCACCTGTTAACTGACTACACATTGAAGGGAATCAGATGGCTTCTGGAATTGTCAAATGCAGTGGAGGGTCCTTAATCCTTGTCTTTCTTGATCACTCAAGTAAGGCATCTGACAGTCCTGACCACTCCTTCCGTGAGACTCCCCACTCCTTTTTTCCCTCCGACAAGACTCTCTCCTGGACTTCCTCCTACTTCTCTCCTGTACTTCCTCTGCCTCTTTCATAGGCTCTGTTTCTTCTGCCTACTTTTAAGCTTTGCTGTTGCAAATGATTCTGAAGGATTCTGTCCTTTCTCCACTGCTTTTCTCACTCTGACCACTGCTGTATCTGGAACCCAGCAGCTTTCTCTACTATCTGCTTTAGTCTCTCAAATTCTAGTTCTGGCCCTTGCCTCTTCCCTGAGCTTCCAAATGCAAGGGCAGAACCAGTCTACCACCTTCCCCCTTCAACTAGAAGTCTCCACAGGCCTTTCCTAAAAGAGTCCGTAGGATCAACATTCTCTGTAACTAGTCAGATACCAAAAACATTCATTTCTCCCCGGAATGATTCTCAGGGTCTATGTTATTGTTGCTGCCATTCATTTCAGCACCTCAACTTCTTCCGTGGGCCACTGTAAGGATCTCACTGCCTCTAGCCTGTCTGAGTCTGATCCATTTAGCAAATCCATTCCCACCAAAGGGAATTCCATAAATGCCTGTTTGATTGTCTCCTGCCTAAATGCCTTCACTAGCTCCCTCTCCTCTATAGGCTAATATTCACTTCCCTTTATTTGCATACATTATTCACCAAGACCACTCCTGCCAGCCTCACCCGCCCTTCCTTGAGCTCTGGGACCCATGAATTATTTTAGTTCTATGTTCCCAGATAACACAGCCTTTCTTTCATGCTTTTGCATGTTTGCCCCTAAATATAGAGTGTATTTTCTGCTTTGCCCTCCCTACTTACCAGGACCACAAACATTAATTCAAACATCACCTCTGCCTGAAAAATTCTCCATGATCACCTTCCTTACCAGATAAGTGAATGCTTCCTCACTGTATGCTGTTTAGATTACACGTGATTTCATTGTTTCACTCAGTCTACTGTAATTGCCAATTTACCTGCCTGCCTCTTTTAATAACATGTGAGCTCTCTGAAGAGAGTGATGATAGATTTCTCCTTTCTTAAATCTCCCATATGCGAGCTCAGAGCAGTATCAATAATATAATCGTATTAATACTCTTTCTCGTGTATATTTCCATAGGCTCTACCTAACTTTGCTTAACTGATGATGTCATTTTCAGCATTACTCCATTTTATAGATGGGAAAACTGATGCTTTTAGAAGAACTGATGCCCTTAAGCAACCTGTGGCACAAATCAATGGAAGAACTGAACAAGAATCATTTTTTTTCCCATTAGGCCACACCCACTGATTCTGTAAAACTCTTAGACTTGGATTTTCATATCTGCTTAGTTGCTTACTAGTGAAATTTAGCACAGGCAAGGGAAACTATCAATGTCAGAAACAGTAATAAGCAGCTTAAGCAAATTAAATGCCCATGTAAAATGATTTATGGTGCTATGTTCTAATAAACCCCATATACACATCGAATTTCATTTCAGAAGATTATCTTGTAGTGGTCCCAATTACTTCAGAAATAAACATATGTCAAGTGCAGGTAATAGAACAGAATATATTTATAGCCAGATAGCTGTCAGTCTAAGGACTAGGCTTTGATTCTCTGTTCAGTTACAGTGCCTTTATTTTTAATGCTTCACAATATTGAACAATTTTGTGTTCTCCATGCCAAAAGATAACTCATCTTGACTGGTAGCATCCATGCGCATGGCAACTGATTATTTAGTATT